CTCCACTGTGCTAGCCGACACAGTCAACCAGTCTCTCCCCTCAGGCTCTGTTCCACTCTCCTTGAAAACCGGTGTTATCACACCCCTCCTCAAAAAAACCATCCTCAACCCTTCTAGTCTCTCACACTACCATCCCATCTCCAACTTAACCTTCCTTGCTAAAGTCCTGGAATGCATTTTTGCAGATCAACTTCGGTCACCTGTGGGGTACCCCAGGTCTCCATCCTTGGTCCCTTTCTTTTCCTCATCTAGATGCTCCCTCTTGGCGATATCATCTGCAGTCACGGGGTAAACTTCCACATGCATGCAGATGACACACAAATCTACTCTGCCTCCACCAGCATCAACTCCAGGTCCGTTTATGTTCTATCAGCTTGTCTGGGAGACATCAGGGCCTGGATGAGTGCAACCTTCCTGCAGCTGAACTCCTCAACCTCAGACTCATTGAACCAGTACACAATCTAGGCATCCAGTTAGACCCCCAGCTGTCCTTCCTCTCCCACATTCGGTCCCTGACCAGGACAGCCTTCATCCACCTCTGCCACATTGCCCGCCTCCGACCGTAGTTTACCCCAAATGCAGTCGAAACCCTCATACATGTGTTTGTTACCTCCTGCTTGGATTACTCAAACTCACTCCTCACCGGTCTCCCCAGCTTCACTATTCAATAAATCCAGCTCATTCAGAACTCTGCTGCCGGCATACTTACCTGTTCTGGACAGGCTCCACTGGCTCCCCATCACTGAACGGATCGATTTCAAGATCCTCACACTCGTGTTCAAATCCCTTCACTCCCTGGCACCTCCCTACCTCTCCGACCTCCTTACTCCCTAATCTGCTCAACTAGCACCTGCCTGCTACTTGTCCCTCACATTCTCCATTCCACCATTGGAGAGTGCGATTTCCCCAAAACTTAAGAACACTCTCCCTCAATCACTCCGCCTTGCCCCCTCTCTCCCCTTTTTTAAGTCCCACCTGAAAACCTTCCTTTTCAACCATGCTTGCAGTCACCTCCCCCCACCCCCCGGAGTCAAGCTCTACCACTGTTAAACTCTGAAACACAACACTGTGTGGAGGGCACTATACAAGTGCAAGTTGTTGTATATATTTTAGGCAAACAAGGCAGCCAATTTGTGCACAGCAATATACCACAATACCCACAAAGCGAATGACCAATCTTATCTGGGGATGATTGCCCAGGACACTAGGAGAAACTTCCTTCTCTTTTTGAATTGTACCATAGACTCTTTAGCATCCACCTGAACAGGCAGATGATAACTTGGTTTAACGTCTCATCTCTGACAATGCAGCAGACCCCCAGCACTGCACTGGAGTGTCATCCTAAAATGTTTGAGTTCAAAGTCCTGTTGTGAGGTTTTGTGTACATAGAAGTCTGTCAATGATATATATATATATATATATACAGCTCCAACGTCACAATCAGATGTAATGCCCTTTGACCTACACAACAATACTTTAACCTTAGAGCTGGGCTCACCCAGAACATCAAATAACACTAATGAAAGAAACCTTTCAAAATATCCTTTAAACATTTATTATGAATTAACAAACTCTGAGAATGAGTTAAAGGGATTTATGTGAAAACACCATATAATCAGCTGGTTATTCCCCCTGCCCCACCTTTGGGTAGTCCACAGATTGGGGCATTTAACATGCAAACAGCTGTTTAGTCCATTATAGTAAATGTTATTGTAACTTTTAAATTGTTTAAAAACAATGTTAAAATAATGTTTTCAGATTTCATAATCACCCGTCCCCCATTCTGGTCCTTTGTAATTTCCATTTTCTAAGTCGAAATGGATGTTTGTGGCTCAAAATCAATCTCAGGCTGCCAATGACATTCATAAGCCACTTTACTTATTGGGGATATTACCAAACTGTACAGCAGAGTTGCCACATCTCATGCACATTGTGTCCCCTGTGGCAATATTACAAACATTGTTCAACACAAACTACCCCCGTTTACATTTGTTTCACTCTATTTATGGTGTAATTTGTCACTTCCATTCAATTAAACTGTGTAGCTTGCTCCTAGACATATCTATGATTATTATCCGTGATTGTTATTGCAAATATATTACTCCATACATCCTCTATTGGTTGAGGCCATTTATGGAGTAATACATCTCATCTGCAATTCTCAAGGCACTGAGGGATAGCTTCAACATTCAAATTTCATGTTTAATTCCATTCAAGTAATAAGCAATGATGAATATCAATTTACGATGGTAACATTTGAGAACATTTTTTAAAAAATCATATAGCATTAAAAGACCACATTAAAAGACCATCAAGGAGGAAAAAGAACAAGTTTCACATATTTTTGGTCACATTGTTTCTGCAAGTCAGTGATGGATTTCAACAGAATTTGCATAACATGTTCCAAGTTTGCCAAGAATATGCAAAAAAAGGTAGTGTCCTTTTAACTATGATCCAATTAACTTAGTTTTTGTAAAACAGTGATTTTTTTTAAACATAATTTGCAAGTTAATAAAAATGACAACAATCCTGACATACTATAGCGGCTTTCACATCAGAATATCCAAAAGCACATACAAGATAATCTGTAAAGTGGAGCAACAACTGTGTGTTTGTGGGTGAAATGCAGCAGCCAGTTGTACGCAGCAACGTCCCACAAACAGCCATGGAGTGAGCGACCAATTTTATTTGGGGATTGGTCGTCACAATGCTAGCAGAAACTCCCTTCTCTTTTTGAATAGTGCCCGAGGATCTTTAATATCCACCTGAACAGACAGACGGAAATTTGGATTAACATCTCATTTTAAAGATGGCACCTCCGATAATGTAACACATTCTCAGCGCTGCATTGAAGTGACAGCCTAGACTATGTGGGTTCCGGGTCCTAACATGGGGCTTAAATCTTCTGATGAGATGAGAGTGCTACCAATTGTGCCACGCTGACACTTAGCCCTTGCATTTCATATTGCACCTTATCACATCAAAACATCTCAAAGTTCTTCACAGGGTTTCCTGTAGTGTAAGCGCTCTGTGACACTACCCTGCTTGAGGGTGCTAGGCAAATGCAAGTTGTTGATTTTGTAGGCCAAAGGTTGCCAAAAATATGTGTTTTCCCTTTAACAATAATCCAGTTTGCTTGATTTTTTCATTCAGTCAAAATGTTCCTGTTGATCTTAAAGGGCCAACACTTTATATTCTCTAGCTCCTCTGAAATATTTTTATCTGTGCTTCTGCTTTGGTATTCTGGTTGACCGGTGAGCTGTTTAAAACGGAAACAGCAATTGTAGTAATCACAGCAGAGTTAAGACCAGGCCTGACCACAAGTATCTCGGGTATGATGATTCACTCTTGACTACATTTGAAATAAGAGTCCCAAAACAAGTTGCTATGTGCATTGCTGACTCCAAAGTTTTGCTAATCTTTTGGGGGAAAACATATTTGCAGCATCTAGGGAAAGAAAAATGTCTTTAAATATCCTTTGCATTCACAATAGCGTCTTATCACAGCATTGAGTTCTCTCAAAGTGCTTCACAAGATTTACCATAAAATGTAGTGACCTTGCAGCTAATTTGCACCAGCAATGCCCTACAAAAAGTATGAAACAAACTCCCATGTGAGCATAATTCCCTTGGTTCAGTGGTTAAAACTAAAAGTTTTTTTTGCATTTCTTTTATTGAAAACAAAATGGGAAGTTGTTGCAAGTAAGCTGAATAGCCCACTAGTTGCTCTCTCTCTGAGTTGCTCTCTCTGTTGCTCTCTCTGTTGCTTCCTAATATTGATAATAATTAGACTTTCATTTGATTTAGCACCTTATCACATCTCAAAGTGCTTCACAGGATATACTGTTAAGTGGAGTGACAATGTATTTTGTGGGCAAAACACAGCAGCCAGTTGTGCACAGTAATATCCCACAAACAGCCATGGAGCCCAATTTTGGGGATTGTTAGCCAGAACAACAAGAGAAACACTTCTCTTTTCAATTAGTGCCATAGGATCTTTAACATCCACTAAACACGCAGACCGGATCTAGGATTAGTCTCATCCGAACAATGGCACCTCCAACAATGCAACACACCTCCAGCACTGCATTGGTGCATAAACTTAATCTGTGGGATTCCAAGTCCCGATATGGGGCTTGAACCCACAACTTCCTGACTCACAGATGAGTGCTACTAACTGAGCCGGCTGACACCTTGCACTTTCTCTCTGATTCTATCACTCTGTGTTGCTCTCTTTTTCTGTATTGTGGAACATTGCTGTGTTCAACTGGTTGCAGCATTTCACTCACAAAATACAGTCAATCCACTTTACAGTATATCCTGTGAAGCACTTTAAGACATCTCTTTGGACTTCTTCATAGCATGAAAGGGGCTATACAAATGGAATTTGTTGATGTCTCAACATGATAAGGCCCTGTATCAAATGGAAGGATGACTGATATTGCTGTCTATTGTTTTCTTTATATGTGTAGTACTTTCTGTGGGTGTATATACAGTATATACATGCGTGTAGTTCCCATGTGCTCCTTGTATGCATGTGCTGCGCTCTCACTGCTCGCAGCGCAGTCACTCTGCCACAAGCCGCAGCTGAGGCGCGCGGCGGCTCGGACTCGGGCTCGCGCCGCTCCGGGCTGCGCTCTATATACCCCTCTAAAAATAGCACAGCCAATCATGCGCCAGATCAGATGAGCGAGGGTGGAACGAAGCAGCGAAAGGCAGCCGGGTTGGCCAATAGCAGGCGCCATGACATCCGCGCTGCCAGCCCGTGAGCCGCGCGCTCTGATTGGTCAGCTATGACATCATGGACGCGGGTTGGAGCTGGCGGCGTGAGGCGGTCACGAGGTATGTATAGTGGGGGGAGGGAGAGGGCGTGGGGAGGAGTCACGTTGCATCACTGGAGGGGGAGGGGAAGACAGACAGCCGGAGGGGGCGGGGCTTGTCCGGGCAGCGATCTCTCCGCTCAGTGCTGTGATTGGGAGGTGCGCGCGGCTCGCGGCTGCTCAGTCGGTCTCAGTCAGTGCATGTGCGCGGACCGCCTGCGCTCCCCATTCTGCTCACACACACCGACCCTTCCTTCACAGACTGTAACTAGTACTCGCTGGGGACAAGATTTTTTTTCCTGCACAAAAAACAGCAACCATCATCAGCCAGCACCACAACCTCTCTGCTGGCTATTCGTTATTTTTTCTCTCTCCACACTGCCCTCCCGCCCTCTCTTTATTTCTTCACGGTGTTGGAAGAAAATTGGTTTTATTCAAGTGGTGTGTTTTTTTTTAAAAAAAGGAAAAATAACCCCCAAGCACCAGCCCCTCTGTCAAAAAAAATTCCACCCATAAAACAACCGACAGCAGCAGCCACCGAGGGAGGATGGATGTTCTACCGAGGTGCAGCATCTTCCAAGAGCTTCAGATTGTGCATGACACTGGATACTTTTCAGGTCTGGCATCACTTGAAGAATACTGGCAGCAGGTGATTATTTGTTCTTTTTAAAGGAAGGATTCGATTGATTTTTTAGATCTCTCTTCCCCTCTCAAAGTGCACGACAGACAACATGTTGCAATTTGGAGTCAGTTCACTTCATGCTCAATCCAGTGGAATTTTTGTTTTTTATAGATATATATATATAAATAAATCAACAACAGGTATTTTTGTTACTGCATGTGTCTGTCCTGAGGTTGTACATAGTATAGTGGCTGACTTGGCAGTGGGGAAGGGGGTGAGAGAGAGAAAGGAATTTGGCTTCACTGTTTCTGTCACTAAACATCCCAGTGTTTGTCTCAGACTTCCAGTTCTCTGACTCAAATGTGCCAGTTGCAGTAACCAGTCAAAATGCCAAGTGTAAAAAAAAACTTTGGAGCTGCAATCGGTGAAGGCCAAGTCGTTCAGCATTTAACCAGACCTGAAGTTAAAGGCCGCTATTCAAATAAAACTCTGAATTTGGTGGGGAGAGAGAGGGAGAGAGCTGAGGGGAGGGGGAATCCTTAATCTGTAGACTTCCAGACATGTCTTGGTGTGTTCTTATTTACAAATATAATTGGGGAATGTTGCTTGAATTAGCACACTCTAATGCTTCTCTCGAGATAACATGAATTACCATAAGAATAGCAAAGATAATTCCTGTTCAAACGCTCATCGTGTTTGTTTGTGAGGACGTGGTTTAAAATGCAATGCAAGAAGAGTCGCCCCCCCCCCCCCAACAACTCTTGCATCGTATAATTCTATGCATTTTCTGTTCTTCAAAGAAGCTGAAACATTCAGTACGTGATTGAAATTGATCCAAGTAGTTTCCTTCAGGCATTTGGGATTTGGGCACACAGCCAAACTGGTCTTCACTCGCCTTGAGAAGCGATTTTACTACCACAAGCAACATTTCGGTCTGTTGCTAATATGTTTAATGGGAGATTTGGACGAGAGAGAGATACTGTATTAACATTTTAACAGGACTTTCAATTTCCCCAAATCCAATGAAGTTGTGCTTTCTGACAGGAAACCTAATAGGAATTTGTTCATTATGAGATCCTTTAATTAGAAACAGTTGCCTGGAATACTGTCCCAGTCTGTAAATGTAGCGAGAACTCACGCTTCACTCATTGTCTGATAAAAGATTTGACGTAGAAGCCATAATCAAAAAGGAAATGTTTTTTTAATGTAACACCTATTCTGATATTTTAAACTCGATGTGACTGACTCCAGCTGCTGACCTTAGTGTGTAAAGCAATTTTGCAAATGCAAAAACGTAGTATATTTTTGAATTTTTTTAAAAAAGGGGGCGGGTGTTTGCTTGTATTGATTCATGTGTAGTGTTGCCAAATGCTGAGCCAAGCAAATTGTGGAGCAGAATGAAAAAAAGAGGATACTGTTGGTCACGCAATCCTAAGCGTACATTTCAGAAGAGGAACTCTTGTGCAGATGGCTTATAAAAAAAAGTAAAGGAAGTATCCTCTCGGCTGAAGAAATAGCTCAATGACTCATGCTCTTCCTCGTAAATGCTGGCCAGTGATATTAAAGAGGGAAAACTGTTTTGTACTCTGCATTGTAGGGCTTCCCAGGAGCATTCCAGAGTCATTTCCTCTTCTGTATCCTGTTGAGTAGCACTTTCCTACACTGTTGTAATTGCCATTTGTACCCTGGGCAAAATGAAATGGAACCCATTCCAAACATTCTGGATGTGACCAGGTTTAGGCTTACAATGAACTTGAAATTCTTTGAAATATTTAATAGATCGCATTTACTTACATACACCCACAGGAAATAAGTGGTTATCTGTAGTTTCACTGACAAATCTGTAAGAATGCAATAGTGAGTAAAACGTTGCTAAATATGGCTTTCTGCTTGTGTTCCTTCAGACAGCCTTTCACTGGATTGCTGTCTGTGGACTAGTGTGTGTGTGTGTGTGTGTGTGTGTGATGTGCCAGAATTGCAGTGGAGTTGTCAATAACTCGCAAGCCCTCGGTGAATAAATGCCAATTGTTAATATATTTGAAAGAAAATTAGACTTTTTATTTTAAAAGATAAAGTTCCACTGAAGGAGATAACCCCTTTCATTTTTGGCGCACTTTTTAAATTGGTGGTTAAAAACCACAGTGTTTCCTGCTTGCACACATTTTGACACTGAGTCAGATTGAATCTGAGAGAATGCAAATGTGCAACATGCTTGCGATTATACAATACCTGTTTTCAATTGTAACCATAATAATGAAATTGACAAAATAAATAACCAAATAGGTCAGCTTGGCTCAGTTGGTAACACTCTCTTGTCTCTGATTCAGAAAGTTGTGGGTTCAAGATCCAATTTGGAACTTTTAACTCGCAGTCTAGGCAAAATTTCTCTCAAAATCCAGTGCCAAGAACATGCTGGAGTTTCTCCCAGTGTTCTGGCCAACAACCCCCCCCCCCTGAAGAAATTGTCATTCACTTTATTGTTTGTGAGATACTGCTGTCTGCAAACTAGCCAAGTCAGACTCAGTCAATAGACTTTACACTAAACCCTATGAAGCACTTTGAAATGTCCACCTGATGTGAAAGATGCTGTGTTAAATGCAAGTATTATTTTTATAAACATTATCTAGTAGACACAGCACACAGTGTGAAGGATCTCATGTAAACTTGCACTTCCAACCTTGGTAACCTTCAGAAACTTCTGTTTCAGACTTGCCTGGAGTTGGAGCGGTACCTTCAGAGCGAGCCCTATGTATCCGCATCTGATTTTAGATTTGATGGACAGGATGATCTCTTAAGCAAAATCTTTATGGCATGTGGGGAGAAGGATGAAAGTGACCAGAAGAATCCAAGCTTATCAGAGGAGGAGACCCAGGAAAATCAAAACCTGGAAACCAATAGCATGACCTCTGACATCAGCAATGAGTCACTGGACAGCTCTGAGGAACTTTCGCCCACGATAAACTATACTTTGAATCCTTTAAATACCGTTCTAGCAAATTCTGAAAACATAAATTCTCCGGTTCTTTCCACTCCACCATCCTCTCCAGAGACAACCAAGGAATTTCCTGCTCCGTTGTGGAACAATCTGCCAGCAAACGTACCTGAGCTGGGTACCCCAGTCAAAAGTCGAGGCGGAAACACCACAAAACCGTTGGATAAATCTAGTGCAGTAAACGGGGAAGCATCACCTGATGGTAGGAGAAGAGTCCATCGATGTCACTTCAATGGGTGCAGAAAAGTATACACCAAAAGTTCACATCTAAAAGCACATCAACGCACTCACACAGGTCAGTAAATGGACTACAAGTTTCTGTTAAATGTGATTGTGCTTTCCTTCAGTATGTATAAAGTCTTCACCTAAACAGCAGGCTTCTGCTGGTGTGAGGGGAAATTGGTTATTGTATTTATTTGCCCCCTCTTCTGAGCTTAAATCTGTGTCTTTGACAGTCACTTGTGGCAGTTTTGCTAGATACACCAAACCTAACATTGCCATCAAACAATTCAAACCCTCCATAAAATCCATACAAAGATGACTGAGTACATGCTTTGCATGGGGGAGGTGGAGGGGGGAGATTTTAGGAATGGAAAAATTAATTGCAGTTCACTGGATTGGTCCCAAATAAAAATCAATCTAACCGTTCAGGAACCCTCCATTAATATATTTTCCAAATAGTTATCTAATACCTGCTTGAATTGACTGACACAATCTGCCTCAATCACCTCCTGGGTAGTCTATTCTAGGTCATCACCAATCTCTGTAAAGTAAGGAAATCTGAATGGTTTATTTGCCCCCTCTCTTCTGAGCTTAAATCTGTGTCTTTGACAAGTCACTTGTGGCAGTTTTGCTAGATACACCAAACCTAACACTGCCATCAAACAATTCAAACCCTCCATAAAATCCATATAAAGATGACTGAGTACATGCTTTGCATTTCTCTGGATGTTTAAATGCTTAGGAATGACAGCAAGTAAGAGCTGTTGTAAGTGTTAATTATTCACTGCCAGCTATAACCTACATTTGAATTTCTATCCATCAGCCGGAATACACTTGGGACCTCTTTTTGGTTAAGTTTGTCAGACCAATAGATGGAGCACTTTGCAATAGCAGAGCACCACAGCTCCAGTAAAGGAATGGGGGTGGGGGGAAAAAAAACTGTCAAGTCATATAGCATATCAAAGAAACGCACATTGACTACGCCAATTATAGAGCAGTATAGTCAGTGGCTGTGGACAAATCAGGGTCAGGCTAATCAGACTGCCTTCTGAATGAGGAAGTTTGGGCTGTATGGGAAGGGGGAGTGAAGTGCAACAAAATAATAACAAAGGTGACATTCTCACAAATGACTGCGCTTGCAAATAAAGGCCACCTGAACTTTTAGTCCTTTTTTTCAACCTGCTATTTGATGACTCTTTGAGATGTGCTGTTAATCAGCATGTACTCTTTTTCTCTCAGAGCAGCAGGATCTTAAAAAGAGCTGATTGCAGCCGGGGCCTGCTGCTGTGCATCAGGGAACAGGGGGAAAATGCTTTACGTTTTCCAAAGACTAAGCCGCTGCGAGATTTTACATTCAGCTCAACAGCAGCCTGCAATTTCCCGTGGTCTTAGCCATAAATCAGGACTATGTTAAATGATTAAGACCATAATAATAATCCTTATATTTGGTTCAGTACCTTTCACATTGGGAGAATTTCTCAAAGCACTTCACAGGATATACTGCATGTAAAGTGTAGGAAATTTGCAGGTCAGCCATGCTTTCAAGTCTTGGGTTTCTGCTGCTGGATAAAGGCATGCGAGAGTTGAGAACTTCTATGTTTACCCACCTGAGCCACAAAAGCAATCATTTGGCATGAGCAATTGTTTTCAATTGGTTATTCCTCGTCATAATGGCAAAATATTAGCAATATATTATACAAACGGTGGCTGTTTTCATAGTGTCAGCCCATTGATGAAAAGAGCAGAGTTGGGTTTAACAAACGTACGATGCCTTGCCACAGCGTTAGACCTGATTCTTTGTTTGTTTTGTGAAATGGGAGCCCAGAATCTATAAAATTCAAACTGAAGCAAATGTTTGTAGTTCAGAATAAGAATAATTTTTTGCATATTAATTATTGGGCTGTGTTTTTCTGTTAATATGGAAAAAAGATGTGGAGTCCTGTAGCTAAGTAGTTAGAGCACTTGCCTCACAAAAGAGAGGACCCAGGTTCGATTCCCGGTAGGGCGAAACACTGGGTATGTTTCCTTACTTCATATGTCTCTGTTTACCTAGCAGTGAGTAAGAACCCGGTTGTTAGTCGATTGGATTGCGTTTCTGGGGGTAAGTTGGTCACTGCTGTGTGCAGTTGTCTCCCACGTTTCGCCCACAAAACCTACAGTCAATTCACCTTACAGTATATTCTGTTAAGGACTTTGAGACATCTATAAGATGTGATAAGGTGCTATATCAAATGCAGGGATTATTATTTATTAAAACGTGAGGTAACGGCAATCAGATTATCGCACCAGCTCATTCACAGTGGAATTGTGTACAACTGTGATGCAATAGCTTGACCATGTAGTTCCGACTATTTGAAATTTTCTTTAATTTATGATTTCTTTGAAAGTTTTTTCATTTTCAATAGTTCTGTTAAGCCACTGAAAGCGGTCAGTTTTTGATTTATGCTTGTGGGGGAGTCAGGGAGAGACAGACACCGACAAAAGATTTTGAAAAAGTGCAAATTTGTGACTGTGAAGTTAATGACTTTTGTACAATCCCACGTAGTGCATTACTAGAGTGATCATGATTTGAACATGATAAGAAGAGAGATTCAGTCAGTGGTTTGCTTTTCTGGTGGTTTTATTCTGTTGCTGGTTATGATAAGCTTTGCCCGCTTGTTAGTATTCGTGGTTGGGCATTAGAAATGAATAGCAATTTAATGTGTGCTCTCTGAGCTTGCACTCCTGAGGTTAAGGGTGAGAGGCCAATTATTGTGTCAAGTGTACACGTCTCTGTGACTGCTAAGTAGTCAAAAACTCTTAAGTGACTGCAATTCGATTTTTTGCATGGCAAGGAGATTGGTATCTGTGAATCCATTGACGTCCCCCTGCCCCCTCTCCCTCCTTTCTACACTCCATCTCAGTATAGACGACCGGACAGATACCATATGTCATGGGATTTGGGAATGAGCAGTCAGCTGATTTTAATTTGCGGAAAATCTCAAATGTCAAGTGTTGAAAGCTAACCAAAATTTCAATAACAAGCTCAATTTCAACTGAGTGGTTTTGGAGGTGCCAATGCCTCAAGGGCAATCTGTCAAACAGCCAATCTGATTCAATATTCTGATTGTGGAGGGACTGTTACATTGAAATGACAGTGAGTGCTCTTTTTACCTTAAAAGGATTTCTTTTGGTTGAGGGTAGGACTGGGGTGATCTCTGACTGCGAAGGCCAGGTTGCTTTCGTCTGGCTGATGTGCACTGTTTCTGCTCCTGCAGGTGAAAAACCTTACAGGTGTTCATGGGAAGGATGTGAATGGCGATTTGCACGAAGTGACGAGCTTACGAGGCACTTCAGAAAGCACACCGGGGCAAAACCATTCAAATGCTCGCACTGTGACAGGTATGTTCCAAAACATTATAGACCGACTTTGTTGGGGGGGTAAAGAGGAAGGAGCGTTGGTACCTGTTACTGCTGCTGTTTTTTTTGGGGTTTAATTAAAAGAAACTAGCACCAAGGTACATCGACTCACTGTGCTGGAAGGGTGAGAGCAGGAAAACGCAAGTTCCCATTCTCCGCCAAGAAGTGGGGAAGCAGGCATTAGTTGGGTGGGGGGGTGGAATTGGAAAATCAGGGAGGACGCCTCCTAGTGGCTAGCTACAGAGAGGCATCGTCAAGAGGTCAGTTTGTCCTCCCAGCCTAGGAACATCATGTTTCACTACTTGTTCCAAAAGCAGAGAGGGAAAAGGGTAGAAAATGCTAAATCAAATTAGAAACAAGTTACATTACTGAAGGGATCTGTCGCTGGTTCGAGCAGCAGAGCAATTTCGGGCAGAGAGAGAGTTTACAGTGTACAGTTCCTGCTCCTAAATCACTCTCCCCAGGTGCTGAGGAGGGAGAGCCTCATAAAATTATACAGCACAGAAAGGGGCCATTCAGTCCATTGTGTCAGTGCCAGCTCTTTGAAAAGTGCTATCCAATTCAATCCCACTCCCCCGCCCTCTCCCCATAGTCCTGCAAACTTGCCCTTCCCAAATAATGATCTACTTCTCTCTTAAAAGTCGTTATCGAATCGGCTTCCGCCGCTCTTTCAGGCCATGCATTCCAGATCCGAACAACTCGCTGTGTGAAAACATTTCTCCTCATCTCCCCTCCGTTTCTTTAAACAACTATTTTAAATCGGTGTCCTTGGGTTACCGACCCACCCACCAGCAGAAATAATTTCTCCTTGTTCACCATGTCAAATCCCCTCATAATTTTGAAAACTTCTATTCAGTCTCCTTCTCTGCTCCAAGGAGAATAATCCTCGCTTCTCTAGTCTCTCCTGATAACTGACGTCCCTCATTCCTGGTATCATCCTGGCAAATTTCCTTTGCATCCTCTCCAATGCCTTGACATCCTTCCTAAAGTGTGGTGCCCAGAACTGGACACAATACTCTAACTGAGGCCTAACCAGTATTTTATAAAGCTTTATCATAACTTCCTGACTTGTATTCTATGTCCCTATTTATAAAGCCTAGTATCCCGTATGCTTTTTTAACAGCTTTATCTACCTGTCCTGCCACCTTCAAAGATTTACTTATATGAACCCCCAGGTCTCTCTGTTCCTTCACCCCCTTTAAGATTGTACCATCTAACTTATATTGCCTTGTGTATGTATAACTGAACACTGCTGACTGCAGACTCATTTGTTTTGGACACCATCACCCCAAACTCTGCCAGGCACCACTGGCTCTCTATCTCTGAACAGATCGACTTCAAGTACTTCACCCTCGGGCACAAATCCCTCAACACTATAGTTCTTCCAGCCTGCTTGATTCCACTCTTCTGTCAACTCCCTCCAACCAACAACAAATTACATTTATATAGCACTTTTCATGTCAGAGGCCTGCTGTGTGTCCCTCGACCCCTTTGCACTACATTGGGTGTCTATACCTTCGGCCACTATGTCCTTAATCTCCAGAAGTACCCATTCAATCCCTTTGCCTCGCCACCTCTATATATCTTTAATTCCACTTTAAGATTTATCTCTTAGACCCTCCTATGGTCACCACTCACTCTCCCCTTCTTTCTTAATCAACGTCTCTCCCTGACACTGTACAGCACTCTGAGAGGTTATCCTGTGGGAAGGGCCTCATGTAAATACAAGTTGTTGTTGATGCTGTTGAAATGGCATGAATGACATTAAGAATGTTAAGTTCTCGGGACGCCCTCCAGTGCTTCGGGACATCCTCCTGACATGAAAGATGCTATACAAATGTAATGTGTTGTTGTCAAAAGTTCTTTGGAAATTGACTGCTATAAGGACCCTTTTTTTTGTTTAACTGGAATTCAGGCATCTTTGTGCGTGAGAACAGCTCCCTGTTTGGTTTTGAGAGCACGGTTTGGAATGTTAAATCTTGCTGCTCTTTCAGCATTGATTTTGATGCACAAATAGCGTTGAATCCACACTGGCCGCCTCCGCGTAAACGGGAGGGAGGGTGGTGGGGGGAGGAAAGGAGGACGCTACGTTTTCCTGCCAAATCACACAGTGAAGAGAAGCCGAGCAATGCAGAGCAGTTATTGTACAAAACCCATTCCCAGACAAGGCCAAGCCTCCCACTCTTGCAATCTTCCCAACCTCATTATGGGTTGCAGATTGTGTACGTTGAGGGCTACAGTGTTGTAGCAATTGCAACCAGTTTTATTTAATAATAGCGATGCACTTAAGGGAATAAAAAAACGAGTTGGGGATGGGGGAAATCGGAGAATCTGACGAACTGCTTTCACGTTAAAGACTACTTTAGGGCACTTGTTAGTAAGGCACTACTTTAATTTGAAAGCTGAGTTAAGATGCTGGGAGAAATTTAGTGGAGCCTGGCCCCAATTTTTAAAATTCTTCCATTGATTTTGTTTTGTCTGTTTAATTGCTGGGCTCTTTTATATTCCTCTGATCAGAGCTATCTTTAGCCCTACTGAATTGGGCAATAGTTTTTTGTGGTTTTAACAATGTCTCTGAGATTATTGTTCCTTCTCCATATTTACTCATAATCTATTAAAAAAAGGCAAACGATGTTGTCGTAAAGCAGGGGTTTTAAGTGAGCATTGAGTACTTTGATCATCAGACTAGTAAAGGAACACAGAAAAGAAACCGCCACATCAACGATTCGGAGAGAGATTCGAGGCAGTCATGCAACAAAGGAATGATTTAATGAACTGTGATTATGCCCTTTTACAAGGTCTTATTTTTCAACTACAAATGATACTCCGACAAGGAATAGCATTATGTATAATGTACTCAGACCACATATTTTTCTTGACTTTTGTATAATTAATTTTACATTTTCCCCCACAAACACACATTCTCTTCTAATGTGATTTCTTGTGTGCACACAGCCTCCAGTCAGCTAAGCTCGTACCTGACCTAAAGTGTGTCTAGAACAGAGGGAGCCGGCTGCGTTTTCTTTCCTTGTCTTTCTTTCTCCTCTATTCCCCCCCGTCCCCACCCACCTGAGGTGGAATGCTTGACAGTCACAAAGCACTTCAGCTCACAACGGAGTCTGGCAGGTGTTGAGTGATGAGCAGCCCCTGGGACGCAAATCTTACAATCTCTGGAATATGAAACAAGTGTTCTTATTGCTGTGATACTGACCTGTGGACATTGCTTCTTAACACTGACAGGGCACATCCTTTATACCAGTCCTTATGTTAGATGTGTGTTCTTTTTATTTATTGATAAACACCATATATATAACACCATATGTTTACAGAAAATTACAGTGATAAACCTTTATTTGAACCTGAAACCATGTAAAATATAGTCTAGAACCTAACTATTTGCATTTGTCAGGATCTAATCCAGTTTGCTCTTTTAACCTATTGTATCTTCTAGAAATTAGATGTGTCCACTTAAGCACCTGTTATCAAGTATTAGTTTATCTGAATTGACCCTTTTGAAATATCAACAACAATGCTTGTAAATGTAGAGTCATACAAAGTGGAGACTATTCACCCAGTTTTGGTGCTGGCTCCCCCACTGGATTTAGATACTCCAATCCCAGTTCCCTGCACTTTGCCATACATACTTTTACATTATTGCTCTTCAAATATTTATCCAATTGTCTTTTTTTTATATAGGTTGTTAAGTTCACTAAAATACACATGTCACAGTTCATGGTGCTTTTATTTGGCTGCAATTTAGATTTACTCATCAAAATGTCAAGTATTTATTTTATTTTGTTGCAGTGATTATTCTGTTTGAACCAAATGTATAATTCCCTTTCTGTTTTTTGTATTGTTCCCTCCCTCTCTCCCCCACCCCCCCCATCATCCCTTCCCTCCTCGCCTCCTCAGGTGTTTTTCTAGATCTGACCACCTGGCCCTGCACATGAAGAGACACCTCTGAGCTTGTCTAGAGCGAAACCTGGTCGGTGATTCAGCTTGAACTGCCACATGAGGAGGAACGTATGCTTCACCCAAAGCATGCCATTTTGCACCCTACCCAGTAGCCTCCAGGTCCTTTGCCAAGGTGTTCTCAGAGACTGTTAGTGTGAGATGCAGCCTAGTAATTGCAGTCGGAGCATAATGTCGGGGGGTGATTTCCTTGGGTGCATACACCGACCGGCATCTAATCTTACAAGTGTCTGCCAAGCCTCTGCTGTGAGCATGTGCACTGAGAGTGTTGATGACTAGGCGAATGACTGTATGATGAGAAACCAATGATTTTTATTGTGGTTGGGCGAGATTGAGTTGAGAAAAAAAACAATCTGGATGAGTGTGTGAAAGGGAACGAAAGAGAACGAGAGAAAGAAAGAGGGACGTGTACCTGGAGATGGGATAACCACCAAATGTCTTCATTGTTTCTGGCCTTAAGGAAGGTGCTGAAATAAGGACAGGAGACTGACCCCTTTCCCGTGTGAGAGGAGCTTTTGGTGTTTGGTGCAGCTAATAAATGTGCAATGTGTTGAGTAGCCTTGTTCACTTGCTACAAAAAGCTAATTTGTAACCCATTGTATAAGCTGTGTATTAAGGATATAACACAACTATAACTTTCATAATAAATAGAAAGGTGTTGCATGGTTCTGGGGATTGTACACTTTTCATTCTTTGTAATTGGGGACTGCAAGTTGATTCCAATTATGTGCAGCTAAAAAGAAAATACAGTTGGGCAAATGTTACATAATGTACAGGAAGCCTGGACTTTTTTTGGTTGGATACCACTATAGCTTAGCAACTGATTTACTTAAGCAGCTAATTTTGGTCTTTTTATTTATGCCTTGAGGACTAATTTCTGGTTTCTAAATGTTAATGCACTGTTGACATGAAATAATGGTGCCTTAGGAGAGTGACCTTGCTACATTTACTGTGTAGCAGTTTCATGTGGGTCATCAGACAGGGATATGGGTGAGTTTGGCTCCATTAAGGCTCCCTATATCACATGATATTGTACTCTGCCACTTTCTGTCTTTCACATGGAAACAATAAAACAACATTTTCTTTAATCTTCTGAGTACCAAACACCAATTTCTGTGTACCCACGTGTTAAAAGATTTGGGATTTTATTTTTTTATTTTGACAGAATATATTGATATTGAATAAATTGTATTAAAAAAAAGATTTAATAAGTAGAGTACTTTCATTAAATGTATTTTTTGTTCTAAATATATTGCTGCCCTGCTAATAACAGTAACACATTCCTAGTACTCCCAAAGAGTGAAAGGTGACCATGACAAATTGTCGGGACTGTAAAGCACTCTTAATTCTGAGAAAGGCATTTTCACTGTAACTTTAATGTAGTAAAACTGAAGATTTATAATTGTTAACAGTGTGACATTGGAGAGGAGTGGCTTGCTCGAGCCTTTGCTGGCCCTGATACCCTTTGTCGGACTGCTGACTCAGCATATTAGATGTTCAACTGTCCAGAGTACAATATTGTAATTTGTCCATCAATGGATGGATGGCCTGAGAGGCATTTCAGCAAGCATCATTGCTAGATGTGTGAGCACGGCCGGAAAATCATTGTAATTCAGACAGTCTGGAAGCCCGACTAGAGTCACGCATTGCATTCTAATCATCTAGACATTCAGAAGAAAAAAACAACGCACAAAAAAAAACCTAGAACATCAGGAATTGCTGCTGATTCAATTGTTAGATTTATTGGAGATTACGGGGGGGCGGGAAGCAATACGGTTAGAAGGTATTACAAAGTTTACACAAAAAATGGGCTTTGAGGATTGAAATGTACACACCTTGCATTCTATGCATTTATATTTACCAAAACCATAGGAGCAGCTGCTTTTTAAATACAATTTCAAGTATTTTCAAAACTGTATGTTCATGTTGTGCTCTGCCTAGGGGGTCAAGCCGCTTAATGAGGATGCCAGGGACAGAAAGTGAAACTTGAACCGGCTTGTGCTTTTAAATGCAATATAAAAATGTGGTTGCATTCACTGGAATAAAGGATTGGGTGGTGTACTACAGTATTAAGTTGTCAATGAGCAGTGCACATGTTGTTTCTTGGGTACAGGAGCCTTAATGAATCCCTATGACCTTCATTTGCAAATACAATTGTTCTTATTGATATTTCACATTTCTTTTTAAAGTTTTATCTCCAAACCTCTTTGTAAATTTTGTTATTTGAAATCTTTTTACAAGGTTTTATTTGAAATCGTTTTTTGCAAGATTGTTATATTTCTGTATGAATGTATTTTTTATTGTAAAACAAGAGAAAATCCTTATCAGAACCTTGTCTCTTTTGTTTCATTTTGTTTGGGGTCTCCTTACATGTATTGCAGTGTTAACTCTCTTTTCTACCCCACACCCCATATTTATTTCGTTTTTTTTTAAAAAATCACCAACATGTTAACGTTAGTGCTGACACATTGCAATCTGAGCACCATACTCACTATATATAGAATCCACTCAGTGGAAAAGCAGGTATGACCAGAACTATTTAGCAAAGCAAAGTACTATATGGTTGTATTTGACATTTTAATGCTGCCAGTTTAATCACTTCTGTGTAGGACTGTCTAGAGTAATCAGTCTCCACCCTATTGGTTATGTTGCTTTTTGCTGCTGATTTGCTGTGAGATGTTTTTTTACTCATCTAAAACACAACGTAAGTGCATGCATTGCACAATCTTGACGTACAGGAATATACAGCGCATAAATGCCAAGATATTGTAAGATAATGTGGAACAAAAAGAGGATGTGCAGGTAGATAAGAAACTACAACACAATTTACATTCATACAGAGCCATTCATGGCAGGATGATGTGTCAAAGCGCTTGACACTGCTGGCTGCGCACCTGAGGTGGGAGTGAAATCTAAGAGTCTGGGGAGGAGAAAGGTGTCACAGAAGTATGGTGAGGAGAGGCTGTGGAGGGTCTTAAACTTAATCCATTGGGACTTCTTGCTTGACCCTCAACTATCGTTTCTACCCCACATCTGTGCCATGACCTGCTCTGCATTCCCCCAGCTCCGCAACATCACCCAGCTCCACTACTATCTCACACCACAGGCCGCCGAAACCCTCATACACGCATTCATACCATCCAGGCTTGACTATACAAACTCCCTGCTTGTTGGCCTCCCCAACTTCTCCCTCCATGGGCTGCAGAGTTCTGGATGATCTACAGCCTATGTCCTCTCCTGCACCCGGCTCTGTGACCCTATCACACCCATCCTCACCCGACTCCACTGGCTTCCCATCACACAGGATACAGTTCAACATCCTGGTCTTCACCTTCAAAGCCCTCCATGGCCTTACACTCAGAGGCTGATGTGGATGATGAAATGAGCTACAGAGTTCTGGATGGTCTGCAACTTGTATAAGGAAAAGCTGGATAGTCAATATCATCAAATAACAATAGCAATCATAATAATTCTTGCATTTCCTAGAATGCCTGATCACATTGTCAACATGTCTCAAAGAGCTTCACAAGTTATATTGTAAAGTGTAATGACTTTATTTTGTGAGCAAAACACAGTAGCCTGTTATGCACAGTAATGTCCCACCAACAACCATTGAGTGAATGACATATTTATTTTGGGGAATTGTTGGTTAGGACACTGGAAGAAACTCCCTTCTCATTTTTTTGAATAGTACCATGGAATCGTTAACATCCACCTCAACAGGCAGAAAGGGCCTCAGTTTAACATCTCATACCAAGCATAGAATTTAAACACATCATTCTCATTTTCAAGGCTGTCCACGGCCTTGCCCACTCCTACATTGTTTGAAGTGCTGACCCCCTATCGACCTGTCCACTCCGGCCTGCTCCAGTTCTCCCGCCTGAATGGCCCTACCATTAGCGGCCGGGCTTTCAGCCTCTCTGCCCCCACTCTTTGGAACTGCATCCCACAATCCCTTCGCCTTGCTCTCTCCTTCAAGGCATGACTCAAGACCCTCCTTTTTGACCGTGCCTTCAGCTGCCCTCCTACCCTCTCTGCCCTCCCTCATCCCAACCCTGCCCCATGTCCTGATCCCTGATTGTTCAATGCCTTGGGACATCCTCCCAATGAGAAAGGTGCTTTACAAATGTAATTTTGTTGTTGTTGGAGGTGTCAAAATCGTGGCTAAGGCTGTGCCCACACGTATGATAATACTTGCAAGTTTTCCCCCATATGGATATATTCCCATCGAGTGTTTGCACACTGTGTTCTTTAAAGGAACACAATGGCGGAAACATTACTTTCAGCTTGGTAAGTCAGATTTCACAAAAAAAATTAGAGGCAGTTAGAAAGAGGAAAGATGCTAGGAGCAGTAATGGAAAGATAAAAGCATGTGATTTGCAAGCGGAACAAGTCACCACAAATGCTTACAGAAGCCAAGTCAAATCATATCATCTGAGCTTGAGTAAGACACTTCAAGAATAAAGTTGCAAAAGGGCGTGGAGAAAGTGCAGAGAGATGGGATTAGAGTGAGGGCAGGGTGGGGGGGGTTTGTTGACAGCTAGCTCATTAAAACATGTGGGCCAAACTGGCTTCTGCACTGAAATTGTTATGATTCCAGTAAGTGTATACTTTGGGTTTTGTTTGGCTTATCAAGCCTGGAAAGTTTGCCTTTGATTAGTTAGTGACTGGAATTTTTTGTAACCAGAACATGATGTAAACTGTATAATATTAAGCATCTTTAAACAGAAACAGTGGTTGGAAGTCATCCTAAAAGTTCTTCTGATTTTTTTTCCCCCATAAAATGCAGTTGTTTTATAAATAAAAATCATTGTGTTTGATAAGGCGCCTTCGGTTCAGGAGAACGTCACAAAGAGCTCCACAAGATATACTATAAAGTAAGTGACTGTGTGTTTTGTATGTGAACAGATCTTTTGTGCACATTTGTGCACCACCAAATTCTGTCAAACTAGCTGCTGTAATGCCAGTTATGCTATTGAGCTGAGCTGGTTTAGACACCACCAATACCCCAATGCACACTCTGCGGTCCCCAAGCCTTGACTCTTGCGAACCTGCGTTTAATAGTTTCCGGAATTAGATAGGCAGGATCTGTCTCTCCAGGGAGAGAGTGTGTATTTCCATTCCAACAATCTACCTCTGGGATTTCCATGTGTGGGTCGGATGAATGGAAATGTCAGCTTGGTTTGGATGCTGTTAAGCACAGTGATGGGTTTCCGCATGTGTCTAACACCTGGCTGACAAAAAAAAAGTAAAAAAAGCTGAGCATCCCTCCCCCTCCCTGTTCTGCCTTCAGCTCCTGCACCACTCACTGGAACTCCCTCCCTCTTCCATTCCATCACTCCCGATCTCTATCAGTCTTTAACATT